GTGGTTATAGAAAGGTAGCAAATTCTCCTCACCTGTTTTAAGACCATGAGTATCGGTCCGGCCGGGGCTCGAACCCTCCACCTCCCTCCCGCACAACACAATCCGGCGCTCTAACCAATTGAGCTAACCGGGAGGCGGTTAGCTCAATTGGTTAGAGCCATTCTAATTAAGATTCAGATTGGCTTATTGTAGCCTGCTTCATGAGAGTATAGGGCATGTTATTGATTTGAAAATTGAAAGTAATGTCTTGGGAATTTAACGGATTCTTCATTATAAAACAAATAGAAGAGCCATGACTGTGCTCTGTTCTGTTGTTAAACACTTAAGAGGCGGTTAAGGCGCTCAAGAAAAGGATAGAAACACTCGACTACATCTCGTGTTTCTCCCTATACTTCTTCCGTACTCTATCGCTTCCTTTGTGCTTTAAAACAGAACATAGCACAGTGGAGGCTTCTCTTTTTGTTGATTAAATGTTCTTCACACCTGTCACATAAACAGACTTACTTTCGCACGTTCAAATTTGGAGCATTTCTCATTCCTTCAAATATATTTTTTTTCGTTTTGGTTGTAAAAATATGGGAAAAGTTTCAAAAAGAAAGCTTTTGGCAAATGGTTTCACTTTTCGAGACGTTTCAGGACTCCTTCTTTTATTGACTGTTTAATCATTTTGAAGTAACATTCTTCACTCTTTCCTGCCAAGTAAATGGGAAAACACCAAACTCAGAAGTCATTTAATTAGTTTTTATTCAAGGAGTATATGAAACTGTGGAATTGTTTTGACTCCAACATAGAATACAAGAGACTTAAATTAGTCAAAATTGGCTCGTAGGGTTAAGAATTTGCTTACCCCAAGGGAAGTTAATGAGTGATACTACTAATAATCGTCATAACAATTAGAATCTCTAGATTTTTCTTCTCTTGGTTTTTTTGTTTTCTTTTTCATCGTTCGTTCGATTCGTTTTGATCAATGCTTCAGAGAAATTTCTCTTTTAAAATTCTACAAAACAAGAGGCTTGCTAATAGGAATTTTTCATGCATATAATGTTTGAAGAAAATAGAAAACGGGAACAGTTAAGAAACTTATTGTCCCGCCCAATTTTGATTAATAATGAATGACGATAATAGTAAAACCTCACAGTTTTGCCTCTGAGAGAACTTAAAAGCACCAGAGATGAGAAATTTATGGTTCTTGCATTTGTTTCACTTTATTGAATATCTTTTTAAAGAGCAAACTACCGAGAGAGCGGGTTAAAAACGTTCTTTTTTGACAAGACTGTGAAGCTGGCCTGCCGTCGCCGCCCGATACTCTCTTTCATATTAATATTTTGTATATAAGAAGCAATGGTAAAGAATATTCTTATTAAATCCCCTGATGAGTGGGCAACCACGAAACAGGCTTGTCGGGATGAAAGCGTAGTTTATTTGTTTCTTTCCTCCACAAACATATACTTCGCTCTACATTAATGTA